GTGAAGAAATATTTCCTTTTGTTTGTTTTAAACCTGCTGCCTATTAATTTCATTTGGTGACCCCTAGTTCTTGTTTTATTAGAAGGAATAAATAGCACTTCCTTATTTACTTTTGTGATGTTTCACTCCATATATTTATGGAAATATGCTTATGAGTGTAAATATAATGTAACTGGAATATGCTTTATGCAAAAGGTCTCTTGTAAGGTATCATTACAAAGCTTATAATCTACTGAGTGTGTTCATCCTATTTGTATGAATGTATCATTCTTGTATCTGAAGCTAGAAATATGAAGTATTACTCTGAAGTCCTATTATAACTATGCAACGTGTGGGCCATTAATGGTGGCTTGGAATCTTGATGGCTCCCATTAACTAGGAAAATTGGTTGTGAATGGCTGTATTTACTTGCAAACCTTCCTGGGTACCTTCGGGCCAGCCCTGAAAGAATGGAGAATGAGGTCTTACAGTGACATGTGATCATGTCACCTGATACTGGAATCCATCTTAAACCTGGTGCTTTTCCATTTAGAAGGAAGGGTGGGGACCCAGAGAGACAAAAGATTCCCGCCTCATGCCAAAGCTATAAAAGGGGGTGGAACAGAACAAAGGGGGCTGCAGTCATAAGAAACCCCCTACTTACCAGCTGAGCTGGAACTAACAAGAACTGTACCGGGGAAAGGATTGGGCCCAGACTAAGAAGGAGTCTAGTCTGTGAAAGAAGCTTATTTGGAACATCTCTGAGGGCGAGATTTACCTGTATTCAGTTTCTTAATGTATTAGGCTAGACTTGCGTATTTTTGCTTTATTTTACTTGGTGACTTACTTTGTTCTGTCTGTTATTACTTGGAACCACTTAAATCCTAATTTTTATTCTTAATAAAATCACTTTTGTTTATTATTGAATCCAGAGTAAGTGATTAATACCTGGGGGAGCAAACAGCTGTGCATATCTCTCTGTCAGTGTTACAGAGGGCAGACAATTTATGAGTTTACCCTGTATAAGCTTTATACAGAGTAAAATGGATTTATTTGGGGTTTGGATCCCATTGGGAGCTGGGTGTCTGGGTGCTGGAGATAGGTAACCTGCTGAGTGGTTTTCAGTTAAAGCCTGCAGCTTTGGGGGCGTGTTTCAGACCTGGATCTGTGTTGTAGCAGGCTGGCATGACTGGCTCAACAAGGCAGGATTCTGGAGTCCCAAGCTGACAGGGAAAATGGGCTGTAGCAGTGCACGGACTCACCCGGCGGCGCCTCCTGCTGGTCGTCTGTGGGAATTAGCTCATCCCAGCTCCGGAGCGCCCTTTGCAGGCCGGTGATCCGCCTTACCGCTGCTGGCCCCCGTGTCTCTCCCAGGACCCGGTGCCCCTTCACTGGGTTTCTGCCGCCTTTGCAGAACCCCTCAGTCTCAGGGTCTCCCCCTCCCAGGGGAACCCCCACCCACTATCCCCACTTCGCCTCAGTCTTGGCTACTGCCAGTCATCACTTAGCCCCTGTTCACTGGGGCAGACTTCAGTGTATCAGCCACTCATCACAGGCAAAGGGGTTTGGACCTGCTGCCTCTGCCTACCCGTAGGCTGCCCCTTTGCAACCCCAGTACCCAGCTGGCCATACCCTAGGCCTGCAGCCTGTGGGGTTTCCAGGCCGGAGCTCCCCAGCTCCTCTTGCCTTCCCCCAGTCCTGCTCCACCTTAGGTACCCCGGTATGCTCCCTAGCAGCAAAGCCCTTCTCCCTCTAAAGGTAGAGAGAGAGACTGACTGGGCTCCTGGCTCACTGCCTCTTATAGGGGCCAGCTGGGCCTGATTGGGGCTTGGCCACAGCTGAGCCTACCTTCCCTAATCAGCCCAGGCTTCTTGCCCCAGCCAGAGCCCTCTCCTGGGCTGTTTTAAGCCCTGAAGGGCAGGAGCGGGTAACCACCCTGCTACACAGGCTTAGAGGTAATTTCAGCACATCAGATGACAGTACCAAGGAGGTCTCTGTGACCGAACCCATCACAACTTTCTCCACATCAGTCATGATTTTATAGACCTCAATCATATTCCCCCTTAGGCCTGGTCTACACTTACCCCCCAATTCGAACTAAGGTACGCAACTTCAGCTACGTGAATAATGTAGCTGAAGTCGAAGTACCTTAGTTCGAACTTACCTCGGTCCACACGCGGCAGGCAGGCTCCCCCGTCGACTTCCTGGTTCGACTTATCGCGTCCAGACAAGACGCGATAAGTCGAACCCAGAACTTCGATTCCCAGCCGCCGAACTAGCGGCTGGGTGTAGACATACCCCAAGTCATCTCTTTTCCAAGCTGAAAAGTCCCAGTCTTATTAATCTCTCCTTCATTGTGATATTGGACTGCCTCCAAAGTATAGAAAAAACAATAACATTATATTTTTCTTTTTTCTCAACCTGGAGAGGTAGTTTAATCACAGAGATTTGTTTGTGTGTGTTGGGGTGTGTGTGTGTGTATGTGTGTGAGGAATTTACTATGGGAAAGCTAAGTAGAAGAAATAAGGGTTGGTCTACACTGAAAATTTACATCGGCATAGCTACATCTCCCTGCGGTGTGAAAAATCCAACCCCCTGAGTCACATAGTTAGGCAGACCTAACCCCTGGTGTAGACAGTACTTGGTCAATTGAAGAATTTTTCCATTGACCTAGCTACCACCTCTTGTGGAAGTGGAATAACTATGCTGACAGGAGAACCCCTCCCACTGTAACGTTTCAAGTGCAGACAAGCCCTAAGTTTTGCATTTACTTCCAAAAGTGGTGAGGTTTCTTGTCATTCTCATCTCTTGCAGGGATGTGATGCATAGTTCAGATGCTTTGAAAGTTCTGTCTTCTACAGGCAAACGTTATATTTATGCAAGAAATATGAACTTTTGTTTAAGCGTTATTTTTCCATAAATTTTAAATTAAGCGGAGAAATTAAATTAGATAATGTTAAACTTAGCAATACTTAACAATATTTTGATTAAACACCCCTCCTCCCCACCCCAAAAAACCTCAACAACTTCCAACTAGTATAAATTCTGAAGCCGCCCGCTTAGGAACACAGGTTACTATAAACACATCCCCTGTAACCCATGGCCTAAGCTCCATATACTGGTTCTCCCCCAGCAGGGTGGATTTGATTAATCATGATTTACATCACTAGTTAGGAAGACTCGATTTAATCATAGTTTTCTACATAAAAGTGCATTCTTGTTGGTTGTTATAACCTTAATACATATTCTTCACAACTCAGAGATAGATGTAGGTTTCATTTTTAGAAGGTAAACACTATACATTTTTAAAAAGTGATATATTTTGAAAACTTATCAGATTAGTTTTACAGCTATATCAGAAAATGAATGATTGTTTGGTTATTTCATTTACCAAAGGTAATTGAAGCAGATATTTATGAAGTCATTGGGAGGTGAACTATCTCCAATTTAACAGGTTAATCATTAATATTGGGAAGATTTTCTTGCCATGCTGTATTAGGAGGAGAACATCACCAGAAAGACATTTAAATTGTTTTATTTAACTAAAACAACAATGTTATGTATTCTGGATTTTTTTCTTCAACAGCAAACATAGAATATGTTAACAAAAAAGCATATATCCCTTGCTTGTCATATTTATCTCCAAACTTCTTCTCCTTGTCCAGATCTATTCCGTCCCCAAAAAATCTTCTATTCATTGAACTTTTTGAAATTTTGCACTTTTAGAGAGAGGTAAGGGATTGACTCTGTGTACACAAATTTGCAGAGGAACAATAGAGTTGAGGTCTGTTATTTCTCACCTCTATATATTTATTTATTTATTTTAAAACATGTTTGCTGTTAACAAGCACATTACCTCTGGAGACACAAATCCACATTTGAGAACTGCAAAATTAAGCATCTCTGATGGTATCTTCTAGACTTAGCACTGAGTCCCATTGGGTAGATAGAAAGATTAACCTAAATAATCTATACAGAAGCCTGTGGAACCCCATAAGATTGGGTCCCTAATCCATGAACTATTGGAACTCATTTACAAAACTTTTCTTAAACATTACATGAATATATTGTCTCATACTATAGAATTAGAATTTATAATCCCTATTCTATGATGAGATATCTTTGTGCTATAATGTATCTTAATAAAAACTATCTTTAGCTAGGTTTTTTCCTCAAAAAGCATTTTATCAAAAAAATCCAATTTAAATAAAAAAAATCTGATTTTTTATATATTTTTTTTAAAAAAAATCATTGATTTTTATCCACTCTGCTCCCCAGTGCAGAGTCCAGTTTAAGGTCTTGCTATTCTGATATTCAAAGTCTTCCATAGGATTGTCCTGGCTACCTGAGAGATCACTTCTCCCTTTATGTCTATGACCTCCCAATAGGGCTATGTGCCACTGGAACAATTACATTGTCACCAGTGAGGGAGGCTTGTAACTGCAAGAGACAGAGATTTCACGTGCGCATACACATAAAAACAAACTATAAACTATTTGAGCTATTTCTCCTACTCTCAGTTATCTAGGTGTAAATCTAACCAATGTAGCTAAACCAGATTTTTGCCTGGGTAACTGAGAACAGAACATGGCCCATTGTATACAATGGCAGGTAGATTCTGGGTATGGGTATGGTGTGGGTAGGTGGGTAGGAAGGAATAGATCAGTCAGTGTGTTATGCATTCCTCATTGTTACTAGCATCCCTGCTCAGACACGCTCTTACAGAGGTAGACATTGTTTGATTGTAGTTTGATTGTTAGTATCTTTATTGCATTTTTTTTACAACTTGACCATCAATGGGAAATTTTAAAACTTGGCTTGCCCTTTTTTTTTTTTTTTAATAAAATAAGTATTTTTCAGAAACCATGCAATGCTGTGAATAAAAAAAAGGATAAAATGCTAGAAGCTGGAAAAAAAATCTGCCTTGATCTTTCTGAAAAAGAAACAAATTATTATACCTAACATCCATTTTCCTTTCTTGTGATTGTTTTTTCTTTCTTTCTTTCTCTAATTGTGAATAGGGTGGTGGTGACTGTCCAGAGATGAGCATTGGTGCAATCAAAATTGCTCTAGAAATTTCTCTTCCTGGTTCTTTCATCTATGTATTTACTGATGCACGATCCAAAGATTATAGGCTGACACATGAAGTACTCCAGCTCATTCAGCAGAAGCAGTCACAGGTAAGGAGAAGATTCATATTCTACCATTCCTGTTTATTTACCCATTTACTACCAATGCAGTAGCAGCATTGTCCAGAAAAACTCCTTTCCAAGATATTTGTGATATCTCTCTGTAAAAGAGTCATACTGTTGCCATTCTAGCAACTATTGTTTATTTTGTTGTAAATTAAATTGATCTGATTAATAAAAATTGAAATTAAAGGGACATTAATTAAGGTTATTAGTTAAATACTATAAGATATTCCACTGCCAATATTTGTTTCTTGGCCCTCTTGGCAGTTGCATTGGTGTCTGTGGATTCGTCTGAGAGTTATAATACTGATTACTCTGGGAATAAAAAGTGCTGATATAAGATTTATTATTTCATCCCCTCTTGACATGATTTCTGTATGTCTGTTTTCTTCAGTCAATCAGTCACTTTCCATCACTCAATCATGATGGGCTTCACCTTCCATATAGAACTCCAATTGAAAAAAATCACATTGAAATCATTTAGAGTATTATGTTTGGAGTAGGTACAGAATCCAGCTGTGCTCCAAATCCCCTGCCTGCCTTTTTTGGGGTGTACATCTCATTTGTACAGAACTCAGAGTAGATTAATCAAAAGTAAAATGGCTGTCCATCGCACAGAGCAGTGAGAACCTTTCAATTTTTCTGGCATACTTTGCTGTTACGTTTGAGAGTAAGATTTTTCCCATTGAGGTTTGCCATAGGTGCTGACTGACTATATTTTCATTTCCTTTGTGTGTTTTTCTTTTTTAAACCCCAGGTTGTATTTGTGTTGACTGGAGACTGTGATGATAGGTCACATATTGGTTACAAGGTCTACGAAGAAATTGCCTCAACAAGTTCTGGTCAAGTTTTCCATTTGGACAAAAAGCAAGTTAATGAGGTAATTTGTAATTAATTTTTATGGCTATCTACTATATACAGAGCGATGTAAGGTATGGGCTTCCATTTAATGGCTCCATATGTCTAATGGTCCCAATTCTGGTTCTGTTCCAACTCCTTTGTACTGCTGTTGAGGTACAAAGCAGATAGAGAGCTGGTTTAGCCAGATTCTTGGGAATTTTACATAGGTGAATTCTGGTTGTTGTAGGCCTGGTGTATTAACTCTATGCCACCCCTCTGCCAGGCCTCTTAAGGGCCTGATTCTGCCAATTTTAATTATGTTGTTAGGACAGGCTGGACTCCTGTGCTTGTGAAGAGCTCCACTGACTTCAGCCTGCCTTTGTGGAGCAGCTTTCTGGACTAGAGTCTTTGTGCAGTATCTTGCTCTTGGGTAATCCCATTGGTTTACCACTAAATGAGATGACGGAGCAGATTCTGTTCTAAATAAATGGTTTTTATTATTGCCAATTAGAAGTGCTGGTAACCATAGACTAAAATGAATATTTTCTATAGAACATCCAGTGACTTTCAGGTTCTATATTATTACAAACAGAACTGACATTTCCCAAATGCATGAAAATTAATTTGATGAAGACAATGTCACACGTTAGTTATTTGGGTAATTGGAATCATCTGTCAATGTTGTAAACATGACTTTGACTTCCTGGTGTACACAACATTCCATCACTGGATTGTGATTTTTTTTTTATTATAAATAAGTAAAATCTAAACAAAAAAAGTTTGTTTACTTCACTTTGTCACAATTTTGTCTGATTCCATAAATGTTGCTGGTGCATTGCAGTTTTGCTGCACTTGGTTTATCTGGTAGAAATGAGGTTGTATCCCTGTTAAGTTGTTGGCAGAGGGTTAAAAGCAGAGCCAGAGCTAGGAATAAGCAGACTAAGCAATTGCTTAGGGCCCCGAGCAGCTCCAGGGTGCCCCCTATTCATTTTTATTATAAAAACTTGCCTGTTTTAGTATGGGGAAGCCCCAAAATAGTCCTGCTTAAGGCCCCCAATGGGCTAGCACTGGCTCTGGTTAAAAGTCACTAGAAAGACAAGCGTCTCACATGGTTTTCCCCTTGAAGGGGGAAGGTATCCCTACCTTCCTACTTCTTAAGGAATAAATCATGTGTGATGTTTGTGTGTGTGTGTGAGAGAGAGAGTGAGTGTCTGTTAGGACTGTGCACAACTTCTGACTTTAACTTTGCAATTATTTGTGTGTGAAACTTGGAAGTTATCATGCTGCCATTTTTCTTTTTCAGTAAATTTCCACATAAAGCACAACCAAAACCAGCACACATAAACAACTAAATCCCAAACTATACAAACCGTCCTACAAAGCAAAATATGTCACTTTGTTTCCATCCAGCATAGTGAAATATTTAATACCAAAGCCACTGGTCTCATAGAACTAGCCCAGAATAGAAACTTTTAAAACAAACTTAGTGGAAAACATTAACAGGAAACTTCCTTTTTCAGAACTTGAAATTCAGGGTACTGATTTTTCTTTTTGTGGGTTGGAAGAGGGGGAGCTCAGCTTTGGCCAGTTCTATAGATAGGGAACAGTGATATAATAAACACATTATTTTTTCTCTCTGCTCCCCTAGTATATCTGTTTGGTGTTACAAAGCATCAGACTAGTATTCAGAAAGAGTTAACATATAATGTTCTATTGGCAGTTTGCCTCCATTTGTCTATTCCTCACATAGCGGGGCCTCCATCTTTCCAGCCCCAGTAATACCAGTCACCTATATGGGGAGTCAAAGGAAGGATCCTGTGACATACCAAGGTACAGGATCTAGACTAATCTAGGGTACAATCTAGACTAATGAGCAGCTGTCACCCTTTCCCTGCAAGCTTGGGTGCCTTATAATACCTTGCTGAAGGAGTTCCCATCTGAGCTGCTCACAAACAGCTTTCCCAGCATGCAAGCCTCACCCTGAGTGGCTGGGTGCAACTGCAGTCTGCCAGCCACATTTGGGTTATACTTTGGCTCTCGCCAGCCTTGGTTATATTGCAGGATGACGTCAGCACATCCCCAGTCTTAGATTTTCCTCCAGAAATGTATGTCCTGTACTGTCCAGGCCTCTCCTGGACAATACAAGCTATATTAAATCTATTATTTCTTGAATAGAAATAATATGCACATAACTTGCCACTCCAAATGGAGTTTCCCAGACAATTCAATTTAAACACACTGGATTAGATACAACAGTAAAACAAGTTAATTACAAAGAGAGATTTTAAGTGAGCATAATTTATGAGGCATAAAAGTCAGAAATGGTTACAAGAAAAGTAAAGATAAAATGCAATGTGTGCCTAACTTAACAACCTATATTAAATTCAAAGCAAAGTTTTCTTACCACATGCTTTCAGCAGTCTTACTGACCAAATGTCTTAGGTCAGGACCCCTATCTCAATCCAAAGATTGCTTACTTTGTCTCTTCAGGTGCAGTGAATTGATTGGCCGAGAGGTGGGGTGTGCCTTGGAGTGTCTGTCCCTCCTTTTTATCATTTCAGTCCTCCTCTTGAAAAATATTTCCGTCAGGGGACAAAAAGTCTGTGGGGAAGGATGTTCCTGGCTGCTTTTTTCTCACCTGTTTGAACTTTCTTTGTCTCCTCTTCCTGCTTGATGACTCTCTGTTTACTGATTAAATGCAAATTAAGCAGAACACACATTCCTTTGTTTAGGACAGACCTGTTTGCCAATCTCTGCTTGTGTAGCATGTGTTAATAACATCATACAGTGAAATCTTATAACTTCACATATAATGTTACCACATCTATTTTATTCAGACAATATTGACCAGCAAATTATGAGTTTTCAAATAATACCTTACAAGACATGCCTTGTACAAAAATTATTACAATAGTGTGTAGGGTGTGAACACAGGGATAGATTCTGTCACAGACCTTTATACCTGTTCAGGATAATCCACCTTTAAACTACAAATATGAAAACTTACAGTGGAGATTCAATAGTAACTCACTCCCCAGCACTTTTTTATCGTAAACTACTGAATAAGGTTCAGATTGTTCACGCTCTGCGACCTAGCACTGTCTGGTTGGCTTAACTACATCTCTCGGGGGTGTGGATTTTTCACACCCTGAGAGAGATAGTTACGCCAGTGTAACTTTTCAGTGTAGACCCTGTGCAGAGAAACAGCAGGATCAGAGGAGTGCTGAGGTGAGTTTTTTACAACACATTTGTCAAAGCGCTGCCACATGTGCATGCATACCAAAAAAACCCTCCCAGCACTCCATGCAGATCAGTTGGACCCCAGGTTCTGGCCCAGAATTTCTACTTCCTGAAGGGACCCAAATATGCTGATGAGTCCACCAGAAGTCCAGATGCTAATAAACAGAATACACAGTGGCAATACATATCCACAATTGACAGCATATTCCTCAGGTGGGCTTTAACAGAAATAAATGCTACTATCCCTTTCATCAGTGTAGGTCCGTAATCTATAAAGAATGAAATATATAAATTTTAAGACATAATCAGTGTTTTGGATCTATTCACTGCTAATGCTGAATTATAAATTTGGAAAGGGCTTCAAATAGCTGAATTTGAATATCCTGCAAAGCCAGTATTTTGTTTTGTTGAAACTATTTCTATTGCTTTGTCCAAAAAAACCTCAAACAAAAAAACTATTTATAATGTACGAAGTTTTCAAATCCACATCCTTATCCTTGCTCTTTGTATGTTAAGTGGAAAATGAAGCAATGTTAACTAACTAAACAGAAAAGAAAAACTAGCTACCAGTAAACACAACATAACAAAGAGAACAATACTTGGGTAGTCACCGAATATTTGCATGGTCGCAAGAAGAACAAAAGACTATGCTGTATTTTTGCACTCCTGGAACAAAGGGCAACCATCTCTTAATTTAAATCTCTCCAAAAAGCCCACTTCTTCTAGAAAGCCTTCCATAGTAAGAAATGTTGTTATGCTTCTACTGCAACACTGGAAGATATAACCTTCCTCTTGTGCCTGAATGTCTTTGCCTATTTATTTAGGGCTTGATCTTGCTCCTACTGAAGTCAGTGATAAAATTTTCTTTGACTTAAATCACAGTAAAATTGGGATCTATTAGTATCTTAGGTCTTGTCTAAACTTACTGCGCTTTTACCCTAATCATACATACAATGATTTCAAGAGAAATGATTTCAAGAGAAAGATCAAATAAGAAGAAAGGGTATCTTTGCCTTCCACCTAATTACATTGAAACTCTTTGTTCGCCTGCCATTCATTATCAGGGAAGCACTAGGAGGACTGTACAGGGTCAGTTTAGTTTAAGAAGTCATAATTTATTCCTATTCATTGCATCTCCTCAAACTAATAGTTCCACTCAACTGAGTCAAAGACTTTCTCTGTGTCAAGTGACAAAATTATGTTGGGGTCAGACTTCAGTCCAATAAAGTGTTAAGTATATGAATAGTCTCATTGAAGAGCTTTGTTATTTACCTGGCGATGTGCAGGACATTTAGGACTCTAACAGTGTCAAAGGAGTGTCATATTTTGACAAAACAAACCTAGTCTCTATGTATTTAATTAGGAAGGAGATCCTCCAACCTTAAAGCCAGAACACTAGATAGTATTTTGATCTCAAACTTAAAATTCTCCCTAACTTTCCCTTTAATTGAAATATTGTATTCATCATCATTTTCATGGGTAACTCTGAACTCAGAACATTACAGATTTGCAGCAGCACAACAATAAGTGTTTTTTTACTTATTTTGTAAAATTCTGGTCTAAGGGCTGCATTAGAAGGAAGCAAAAAGATTTCATTGACAACTTCCTCAAAAGATCAAATTTATTATTGGTGGTCTAATTTAAGTAAATTAATATTATCCAGAAACTTTTTTTAAATACTTCTTTTTGAACTAGTTGAGAGTAATAGCCTTATAATATGTTTAAAATTTCCCAGCAATGTTTCTAATATTGGACTTTTCTTTTATAAAATCCATTCTAAAATGAACACCCTTTGGTAAG